TTTACTTTATTAGTACGTACACCACACACACACACACACACACACACACACACACACACACACACACACACACACGGTATTGTCCCGTGAAAATAGACGAATAGAATGAAAATACGTCTGGTATAAACGGGAGAGAATCCTCGTGTAGCAACGAGATTCCATTACCACAATCCAGTGGTTGGCAAATATTATCATTACATATACGCATATCCCGCGATGCGATCCAAGGTATCTAGAACCGGTAATGCTTTTTACGGACGTTTTGCATGAGAGACAGAACTATGTTACCTCGTTACCTCGTAAAACCGTGTGCCGTGTTTACCACGTACCATACGACAGCGTTTTGTAATTCCTTTCGAAATTAATATCTCTTTATAATATATAATCGGCAATCTCTCATACGAATGGCGCAGCAGATAATTTAATCTTACTATGCGAGGAGAAAACGCGAGCTTAAATCGAAATTTTCTCTTATTTTATTTTATCTTTTATTCTCTTTCTTTCTTTCTTTCTTTTTTCTTTTTTTTTTTTCGCCATCGCGAAGAAGAGTTTAAAATGTTGGAATTACTATTATTAACGAAGTAAAAGTACGACGGTTGCAAAAGAGTAATTAGCGAGAGAACGCATCGCTAATTATTTCGGGCAATGACTTTGCACAGCGAGTGGAGCAGTAGTAAAGGCGTAGGCCTTTTCAAACTGTCCAAGGATTCGGGACAAAACTCGAGGGATCGCATTCCGTTCGTTGCGACAGAATCAACCATGCAATTCACCTACATTCTCACGGGATCCCTATCCCGATGCTCTCACGTTAGCAAGGTTATGGTGTTCGTGAACACCGTTATTCGTTCGCAGCATGCAATCCGTGTTTGTAATTATTATTTATACGATGCCACGTTACAAATGGGAAACGAAAGTCTCGGCAACACACGCGCAACTTTGTAACTAGTTCAACGGATAAAATATAAAGCGCATACCCCTGCGATCTTCGATAATATAGTAGATAAATCGATCGTCCAACGATAAACTAGCATGGGATAACTGTAATCAGGAACGTAATCTTTCAATGAAACTTCAATTATCAGTTTTACCACGATTAATTAAGGCGGTAATATCTTTATAATTTATAATAACTTTGTTATTACGCTTGGTAATTGGAAATGGAATACAGGTTTGGAGCTGTGATAAGATCGTAATAACGTGTCATTTTAAAAACAAAGAATGCTCGATGCTTTTAGGAAAGTTATTACGAAAATTTTTGAAAAATATTATATCCGTGGATAATACATGGATATACACGCGTTCTTATATATTTCTACTGTTTTCGTTGGAATCAAAGAGGAAACATCGGGGCCGTGTTGCTCGACGAGTAGAACGATGTTTAATTGCGATTAGGAACGCATTTGAAAATCGTGTCGCTTCTGTTCGTACTGTTCTTAATGAGCGATACGAAAGTATATATTCGAACTGTTGGGATTCGCAAGAAGCGAGAAACGTTCATTTTTACGGAATTCGGTGATCGAACGAGCATCTTCTTCGAATTCGTGTATGATTTAATCGCGAAACAAAATTATCGATCCGAGTAAAAATTACGCTTTCTCAACGATGCGCTATAACTTCGTTTCGCTGATGAATAATTAATTTCTTAACGGAGAACTGTGTTCAATCTCGATCTATGAAACGATGAATTATTATGGAAAAGCTATTACTAAAAATAAAAATAAAATTTTTCTTCGAGAAGAAATCTCTTGTTACCCTTTCTTCCTCTCCACACTTTACGTAGTTTACCGCGGATAGATGCACGATTCCTAAGAACCTAAAATCAAACCAAGGATTATTAGAAATTAAGTTAATTAAGATACGACGTTGTTAAAAAGGAATTATAAAAAAGAAAAAAAGTTTCCTTCACCTTCCTTCGAATCAGAGATTCCCTTTAATGAAACAAACGAGGCCCCGTTAGATCGTTGTTCTTATTATCCCGTTAACGAGAGGAACTGTCTCGGAGGGACGCGTATTCCTCGAAACAGTCGGTCGAAGACGGTGAAAGGTCTGAAAAGAAGGAAAAAGTCCAGAGGAAAATGATACTGTAATATGCACACTTTCTACAGAGACACAAAGCGACACACGCTAGTGCTTTCGAGATAGCACTTCGAGTGGATCTCTATCGATCGAAACTATTAATTATCTCGGCCACTGTTCCAACCGATTCCACGCGATTCCGTGCATACACGGGACTCGATAGTTTTACCAAGTAAGATCCATAAGCGGCGACGACTTACACCCGACCGACAGCTTCGTAGTTTCACTTAAATTGCTTCTCGCGTCGTTGAATTGTTGCATAGAAATTGTCCCTATTGTTCCTGTCCCGTCTACCGAACAAATCTCGATACGTAACGCAGCGCGATACGTTCGAACGAGGAGGAACGAAGTAAAAGCGATATTAAGTACTGGTCGAAAGACGCAAGTTCCTCGACGATGGATCGTTAAACCGCGTCGTAAACTGTTAACAAAGATAAAAGGGACGGATTGAACGGTAGTTGGCGACGCGACTCGTAATTGATTACCGAAAAAACGTTACGATTCAACGATGGTCAATGAACCTTTTTTTTCGAATCTATCCCAGTGGTGTGATAAAAGAAGGGAGGGAGAGAGGAAAGAGACAGTGGTAATTTCATACGCGTCACGTCCACGGTTGGTCGAGCCGGTCTCGAGAATGTCAACCGTTCGAGTACCGTTTCCCTTCCCGATCGCCACTGGATCTTCTCGATTTTTTGCCGCTCCTCTCGATCGCGCGAGGATCCCTTCCAACGCGACGTTTCTTGCAAAGCGATCGAACGTCTAAGGAAATAGAAGATTGCACAGGATTTTTAATACTCGATTGCTGAGTCGTGGTTGAAACGAACACGAGGGATGGTCAACATTCTGGAACAAAAATAAAAAGGGAATAATAATAATAATAATAACAGCGTGGAGAATGACGAGTGGAGGAGAAGTACCGTTGGAAAAATTATTTCATCTTCGTTGAATCGTCTTTCTCACGCGACGGACAAAAGCCTCGCCACGCTTTAATCCCGATATAATTATCCATTTTTCTTGCGGGATAATCACCGCCTCCTCTTCTTCCTTATCCGTGCGATAAAAACATTTTATTCTATCTTCGATCCATTAGGTGTCTCGGCTATCCAAAACGATCCAACGTCTTCTCGCTCCTCCCAGGAAGACATGATTCTTAGCGGGAGCGCGTACACGGGGCCGGAAAGAACATCGAACGCGTTTCAACATCGAGATAAATCGCCAAGCTTCGAAAGAACCGCCCCGGCATTTCAACTGGAGAGCTCGAAAAGCATAAATAATTACGACAAGGAGGAGGTGGGATTCGGGGGGACGCGAAATAGCAGGCACGAGGAGGAGGAGGAATCCATCGACGAGTTAACCTCCTCGAAACACGTGGATCACATCGATGGGAACAACATCGAGGTTAAGCCTGGTGAATATTACCAGTAAGTCGGTCACAAACTCTTTCTTTCAACTCAGGGAAGAAGAGAACGATAGAAAAAAAACGATTTTCAACGATCGACAGTATATCTCCAACGAGGAGCGAGGCCGTGTCGGGGGAAGGACGAGGGGCTCCGCAGGAAGCAAAACTCTTGTCGGAGCCCCATCAACTGGCTGGAGTGTCGAACCAACAGGCACAGTATTTGCAAGCGATAGATCAACAAAGACGGGCACGCCAAGAGATCCCGAGGATCTATAGCGAGCACGCCCCACCGCCTATTCTGCAAACCGCGTCCCCGGGTCGACAAGCAAATCCTGACATACAGGACATAATCACGGGTATCGTCAAATTGTTGAATGGAAACGTGAACGTGGCTGCCAATACGGTGAGGCCATTGAGGCCGATCCAAGCCACCAGGTATGACTTCACCCGATGAATCTTTATCCTTAATTTGTATCGTGTCTCACCGATTGAATTGAATTGAATTTTTTCCCCAAGGATCAACAACAGGGGTCCACCGAGGATATCCGATGTTCCACCTTTACCACCCGATTTTGACACTCCCGGGATGAATCCACCCCCTCCACCGGATCATCCCTATCCTTTCGAAAAACCACCGGCACCCGACAGGCCGTTGATCAATCAACTACCACCCGAAAGACCGATCAGACCTTTCGTGAACGGGGTTCCATTGCCGGAGCAAATTGTCCCGCAAGGAAATCGGCCATGGACTTGGAATCGGCCTGGTAACGTTTATCAAACGTGTTATTTCGCTCTAGTTTTTACGAATATCTTGTTGCTATTTTCCCTAATTGCTCTCAGGTGGAAATAGACGACCGATCCCTCCGTACAAACCACTGCCACCGGCAACCGATTCCATCCTCAACAGGGAGAAGGAACAAAGCGATAAGAACTCGAATAAACACAAGATCGATTCGAAACCGGAATCATCGACGGAGGAAGCTACCACGAAGAAGGAAGATACCGATCGGAACGAAGCTACCACGCACGATGGTATAGAGAATGCGACCAAAAGGTACGAGGAGAACAACGGCCAAAAGGTTAGAAAAACCGATTCGAACACCGCGGAGAAACCGATGAACGAGAACTCGACGAAGGGTCCCGAATCCGAACATCCTCCTAAAAAAGAATACGCATCCGTGATGGAATCTGAGAAGGGCAAGACGAATTTCACGAAGCACGACGACTCTCCAAAATCTGTAATCCCGTTGGAAATCGCTACGATCAAACCTACGAAAACTTCGAAAATCGGTAACTCGGAGGGATCGAGCAGTTCGAGCAACGAGAAGCTTGACAAATCGAACATCTCGAAGACATCGACGAAATCTTATTCCACGTTAAGTATCGAGACCAGTTCGTCGATCCAGATAATCGAATCGACGACAACAACGAAATCGACCGTAGTTCAATCGAGTGTCGTCGGCCAATCGACAACCACGAACGATGATGATGTTACGTCGAGCACGATTGGGCTGCAACCGAGCAAATCGGCCGAGTTCGAGGGCACGGGTATCGTGTCGAGCATTCCAACCGAGAATTTACCTTCGACTTTCACAAAGATATCGCCGAGCGTGGAGAAAAGTGCAGCTCGTATCCCTGCGACCAACACGTTCTCCAAGAATTCAGGTAGGAAATCCGCTCGGATGCACGTGAAATTTTTTTCATTCTGCAAGATAATATTACATTCGATCCATAATGAATTCCTCGCGCGTTCGTTCGGCGAACAAGCATGCTCGATTAATCACCTTTGATGTAGATGCAGAGAGACCGGCAATCTGTCATGCACGATTAACTTCCTTTGTAGCCCCTACCGATCGCTATGCTTACCGACCCCGGCCTGGAATCGTCCTTGACGATACCTTGGATTACACGGGGACTCAAGGGTTGGCTACTCAACGACCTTACGCGCCACCGAGGCATCCACCTCTCGGTGATATTTTCGATGTCACGGTCTCGGCTGTTCAAGGTCCGGGTGGTGGAAGTTCAGGTAACAGTTTCGATCGATCGAGAAAAAGAGGAAACGTTTACTTTTACCACCATCTCGTCTTCTTTTTCTTCCTCTTCTTCGATCACAGAAGGTGTCAGAGTGCCGGTGAACGGAGCGAATTCGGATGTGATCCTGACTTCGGCCGTGGAGGGCCAAGGATTCGTTAGCATCGATGGGAAAAGGACGTATTTGAATTTGTTCGAGAATTCGGATCGAACTTCTACGCAACCGCAGCCAACTAGAACGCAACCACCGGCCATTGTTGGTACAGGGTCGGTATAATATATTCGTGATATATCGAGTATTTTTTTAATTCAATTTATCGCTTACCGAGCTCTTCTTTTTCCAGGTTCGCGGTTGCACAGCCGGATCCGCCAACGGCGACTCCGCGACCCAGTGGACCTATTCGAAGGCCAACGTTTCACAGAAGGCCGACTCAACCTCCTGTCAGAATCGACACGTGCATCGTGGGCGACACGAGCACTTGCGACATCAGCCAACACGAGGCTTGCGCCACCGTTCAAGGGGTGTCCGCGTGCCACTGCAAGCCAGGATATGCGAGATTGCAGCATTCGTTGCCGTGCAAAAGTTCGTTGAAATATCCTTGAAAAAGAAACTCTATTAACGCTCGATCAGAGATTTCGATTGAAGATTAAACCGAACCGTCAAATTTTAGAAATTATTAGCATCGTGGTGTCGATCAGAGTGGACAAAATTTACGATAAAAAGGTCGTCTGGGATCGAGGATTCACCGATCGAGATTCCGAGCCCTATCAAACGTTGGCCTACGAAGCAAATCGAGCTGTGAGCGAATTTAATCTTAAATCGTTAAATCTGCCGAATAGAATATAAATATCTAGATTCAACTCAACGATCACTTTTTTTCTGTTTCTAAATATATACAGATCGAATCTGCTATGTCGATGACACCATTTTCAGACGAGTATATGGGTTCTTTTATAAATGGAGTGTATCAAGGGGATGTGAGCCAAGGCCAAGGAGGCGTATTTGTGAACGCCACCTTGAAACTCATTTACGAGCCAAGAACAATTAGACCAAGCTTAGCAGGGGAGTTGCAGAGACATCTGCTCGGTGTTATTCACAGGCGAAGTAATAATATAGGGAATAGCGCCCTTTATGTGGATAGCCCCCCTGGATCTATTTCCAACTTGCAAGGTCGATATAAAAAAAATATATAATATATTCTATTCTTATATTAAATTTACCACGGAGAACAATTGATCGAGAGAATTCAATTTTTTTTTTTTTTTTTCTTCTATAGATTTGGACGAGTGTGCCTCGTCCGAACTGAACGATTGCCATTCTTCGGCAGTTTGCACGAATAATTGGGGCGGGTTCACTTGCACTTGCAATCCTGGTTTGAAAGATCCTCACAAAGATGATCTCAATGAATCCGGCAGGACTTGCATTTCGTGTCCTTCGACTTATTGCAACAATCGAGGATCATGCTCTTATCAGGGCGATCACATGCAATGCACGTAAGTGAATTAAATAATTAACGAAACAAAAGAATTTCTGATCTACCATCTTTTCCGATTTTAATATTCTCGTTAATATTTACCAAAAGGTGCACCGGCAATTATTACGGTGCTCAATGCGAAGTCGATGGGGAAGTTATGGGGGTGGCGATAGGAGCGTCCGTAGCTGCTTTAATAATTATAGTTTTGACGCTGGTATGTCTGGTAATGTGGAGGTAAATATTCCTTTTTTTTTAATCAAGATATCTTTATTCTCTCTCTCTCTCTCTCTCTCTCTTACTAAAGAGAGTTAAGAATAATTTCTTTTCTTTTTTCTTTCTTTTCGACGCGTGATCGCAGTCGAAGATGGTCGCGTGAACAAAAAACGATTGGTTCTCCTGTATACGGATACATTCAGGGTGGTATACCTGGTACGCTCCCAGGAACTTTGGCAAGGGTCGGTTCTGTAGGTACTCTCGCTTCCGTGAAACAAGGACCACCGACCAATTTGCCACCCTACATGTGGGCACATTTCGGTGACCACATGGCAACTGCTAACGTATACGCTGTAAGCAACAACTCTCTCATTGCTCTGTTTATATTTAAATATCTTTGGAAAAGATATCGATGATCGTACTGATCGTAGACGGAACCCATGGGTCCAACGCGGCCAAGTTCCGCTGTATTCGGGTATCCGCCCATCAATATTCACGGAACACTGCCGCCACCGGTGCCACTGCCAAGGCTTCAAGCACCGACAAGACCACGGCAGAGACATCAACCAGATCCTGACAGCTCGGATTCTGAACCGCAGGACAAGGACAGGGCTGATCTGATCCCCCAAAATAGCGGTTTTCATGTTCCTAGACCAAAGTCTAGATCATCCCTGGCAGTGAGTATTCGCTTTTCCGATATGTCACTCTCCACGCTTGGATACTCTCAATGACGCTTCTATTTTAGAATCAAAGCGGAATATACAATGACGTGGAATACGACCAAGGTGATGTTCACCATTTATCGAAAAACAATATTCCGATGTCTACTTACAGGCCGTACTATCGAACGTGAGAACCGGGAGACACCTAGTTATATATTTTTGATAAACACGTACTGCGAAAGAGGGATACAGATTCGTCTAGATAAATCTGGATGGATATGATTCTAATCGAAACTCTAGTTTAATATCGTTTGTTTGTTAAATAGATGTACGTCGTCGAGGAATAAGGAGAGAAGAGGAACAGAGAAATTAAATTAAACGCACCTATGTACGTTCATACCAATGTTCGCCAATCGTTTTAAGTTCAATATTACTTAACTTCTTAAGTTACTTAATTGTTATTCAATAAATATTTATTGCCCTAGTATTATCCTCGAAATAATCTAATACGTTAAGAAAGAAAAAAGAAAAAAAGAATGTATATTCAGGCTGTTTTCTAAAAATTTATGAAACAAAGGGTGCATATATGAGCGATTAGTATTAAAATGAATGCCCCTTCTTAAAAACTATTAATTAACTTAATACTTAATTGTTAGTTATTTATATTATAGGATACAATGATAATTATCGATTAAAAGATGATGCGATTAGACGCGAAAAGAATCTGATATTAAATGGATATTCTAGTTATTTCCAATCGTCATCCTCTTACAATCATCATTATCTAAAATGCTTATGACAAATTGTCGACATTGTCGCGTGTAATATAATTTGTTAAAAAATTTTTTAAAAATTTAATATCAATAACTTAAGAACATTACGCGAAAAAAATATGTATAAATTATATGATTTCCTTACGAAACAAAAGAAGGTAAGGATCGAAGGGCAGTACATATACATAAAATACTCGATAACGCGTGTAACGCGTTGCGGGGTTAGTGCGATAATTGAATATGTAACTTTTATAATTATTCATTATATATTTTTGCAAATTGAATACAATATACATTTGAGAATTCATCCGTTTGTAATCATTTCTCCCCTTTTCTCAATTTTCCAAGATACAATTTTCAACAATGTAAATAACCACACATCAAACATACGCTGAAAATACTGTGCGCATAATGAGCAAAACGTTTAATCTTTATTATCGATAAATTCAATCAAACATCAAGTATTTCGTTAAAACACATTCGTTAAACAGAGAAAAGAAGAATCGATTGTGTTGGAAAAAAGTTTATCGGCAAACATTCAGGAATTACTTCTACGTATTCAATAAAGAAAATTTCAATAGCATCGAACAGACGAGATGAGAAGAAAGAAGTGGAATCAAAATTATTGGAAAATTGAACTTCGATTACCATTTGAAAGTATTCGACTTTTTTGTTTCAATTGTTTCATTGTTTCAACGAGTAAAAAAGAAATTTTCCCTGATAACGATGAAAGATAAAAGATCTTGAGGAAGAAAAGGAGAGAGGACCTTGGAGCGTGTAATGATTTTTTTCTTGTAGAGATTGAAAAAGTATATTAATAAAATTTCGAAGCTGATACAAACGGAGTGCATCCATTTATTGTAACTGATTATAGATTTGAAAGACGAAGTTCAGAAATAGTATTTTTTTTTTTTTTCCCCTTTATAATTCTTTGCGAACATATTGTGATAGAAGGTGATTTTTTTTCCCCCTTCAAAGTCGTACAATATGTACATATATCGCAGAATGACAAGTAGTAAGAGAATATGCCATAAAACGTTGATAAACTGTATAAGTCAACATTTCCAATTAAATTCTCTTTTATCGGTGTATCGAGATTGATACAATATAATTAAATATATCAATATAATAAATATGAAATATTGATAATATATATATATATATATATATATATGTATATGTGAACAATATATATAATAATTATCATTACCATAATATAATAATAATTTTTCTGATATATTTAGCAATATCTTCAACCATAAAGAGATTAGGTCTTTTTTTCTTTTCGTTTTGGTAATCGAAGATATCACATGCTAAAAAAATCGGTCCCGGGTTTTTCACATACGATACAATGTCGATTGAAGCGACTATTCAGCCTCATTAATCACAAAATCTTCAAAAGTTGGCATACATTGATGGATAAAATAAACATTACATAAAATGTTTAACCAACAATTTTGTCCAAATCAAATTTCATTCTTTCTTTTTTCTATAGATAATAGAGTTAAATACATATTTTATTTAATTCTTTTATACATATTACTTTAAAATTAATCATTTATTATATCATTTTTCTCTATTTATGTATTCGAATATTAATATTAAATATTTTATCCATCAGATTCCATCGTTTATTATTCGATCGCTAAATATTTCATAGTCGCAGATAAGGCTGCTTACACGTATGTATGCAATTATAATATGATATACGTGAATTGAAGGAAAACACATGTCGATGATAGAGACAAAGAGATCTAGTGAAAGATTCTGGAAGGCAAAGAGTGGACGAACTCTTAAACTATCAACGCGACTGTCGGATCTTCGTTTTAAGTTTAATCGATGATCCAATAGTCTGTTTTGCATTCGCTTGTCGATTAAATTTTCCACAGCATCGCGCCATGTCAGAGAGAATATTATATAACAAATCTACTAATTCAGATACTAACTTGATATCACTGCAAAATAATAGAATTTTTGTATGCTAATACAAGTTTTCGAAACTTGTATTCAAGAAGAATTACAAATAGTTTAATATCACAAGACAGTAAGGGGATGGAAAGCAATAGAACTAATTTTTTTTCTGGAAGATCAAAGTTCCCAAGTTTTCGTTGTCAAAATTTGTCATCAGTGATCTAAAGAATAATAATACATTCGTTGACTCGAAAATAATCTTTCGATGTTAATACAATTGGTCGCGTGGAAAATTCGAATCAAAACTCGTTTCCCACTATCATCAAAATTTTATCGAGAAAATTACGTTTCAACAAGCGAACGCACGGTTATTAAGAATCGATTAATACTATGTACAAGTAGACAAGTATAGTGTAGGTATTCAAAGTAGAAAGTGTAAAGTATCACAAGAATTACAATAATCGTAATAATTGCATTACATTATTTCGCAAATTTCTTGTCCTCACTATATCGATTGCACAATAATATAATAAGCGCTTTAGTCGCGTCTGTGCAGCTGGACGCGCCGCTAATAGACAAAGGCGGACAAAATGATCGCATAGTACGCGATTCTGTATATAAAAATTTGACTATATCGTTCCTTTTTCACGTAGAATTATTTTTCTATGTATAGAGAATTTATTGATAAATACAATTATTTCAAGATTTATTAATGTTCGTATACGTAATCGCGTACTGTGCCAATATTGTGTATCCACTGTATTATATCGGCGAAGGGATTATTCCCCGAGTTTGGAAATTCTTCGTAAATACATCAGTCTTTGACATAATAATTATAACGATAATACCACCGATAGAGCAAAGCTGTGACAAATATTTGCGCATTATGATAAAACATATGAAGACGAGAACGGTCGTATATAACCGTATATGACTCAAACTTGAAATACGGTCGATTAATATAGCACACAACAGAGAGATTTCGACAAAGCTCTGTAAAAAAGACTTTTAAAAAGAGGAAAACAAACATATCAGCGTAGCCTAGAAATACAACAGATAAATAGTTATCGAGACTATTGGAAAATGCAGCACAGCCCGATCGTTATTCACACACGATAGATTAAATCACTCGACTGTAAACTTGAATATTGATATAGATAACACGATCCTTCTTTTTTTCTTTTTCGTTTTTTTCTTTTTTTTCTTTTTTTGAATTTTTTCTACAGATAAGTACATCTAGCAAAGGGAAGACATATCCTTTCATAAATCATTTTTTATAATAATATTACCATCCATATAATGATTATAGAAGAGAGATAAAATGATTCGAAGAAGAAGAAAAATGACGATATACGATACATCGATATACGATATACGATACATGATAAGAAAATTTAAATATCTAATAATAAGAAAAAAGATAAAAGAAATACGACACAAAGTGGCCAAGTATAAATTGAAAAATACGAAAAGAGAATAAATAAAAAAGAGCTAATTTATAACGAGGAATCGAAATGGAGAATCGAGAGAGAAACACTAAGTATTTAAAATTAATTTGGGAGATATATTTCATCGTATTAGAATGTCAATGCCTATAAATAATAATATCGTTATAAAAATTGATTTTCTCAAAGACTTCCCTCATAAGTTTTGATTTCCCAATATAATATACAAATATTAGAATCGTAGCGCTCGACAGTAATAGCATTATGCAAAATTTGTAGCATGGCATTTGAGGAAAGTGCCATTCCTGTGCGTTATATAAGATATATAATTAAAATCGATCAAAAATAAGAATAAAAAAAAAATATGATAAAAAGACACATTTAACATATTCGTTTCATGAATCAATTATGTTCCTTGTTTGGATTAGTTTAGTAAAATGCGAAGATATTCGAGATTCATAAACTTATCTTCAATATATAATAATAATAATTTATCTTAAACAATTATTGTTTTATATTATTTTTTCATAAAATAATAAATTTAATCATCCGAATTAATTCAGATGAAAAATAATCTTCAAAGCCATGAACATATCAAAGAAAAATGTCATGAATTATATTAAAACAGTTTATAGCAAGATTAGGAATATTCATAAAAATGTATCGATCGATTTTGAACTATGTATTATCATTCGTTTCAATTCATAGAAATTGCGATTTTCAATGTTTAATAATGTTTAAGTAATGTTATTATCGAATTTTAATCTTATATTTCAGCTCACAAAGATAAGTACATGCACCTAACCAATTCCCTTAGGCCATACAATTGATTTTTTGACAATTGGAAATTGAAGCAAATAAACATTATCCTGACAAAACTTACTTAATAATTTACTTAAGTTGGTGTTGGCTGCGGATGAGGTGTACGAGGAGCTGTTGCGTTCGCAAGTGGCCTATGAAATCGTTCGAATAACTGATCTAAAGTTAATACAACCCCGAATCCGGTTCCCGGATCCATATTAATAAACGAATCCAAGTTGTCCTTGCATGCTGAAATATTTGAAAAAATATAAAGAAATATGTGTATATATATGTATATATATATACATTGAAAAAAAATGCCTCAGATTAAATAGTCTACATATTTTATGACTTATCTAATAAACGTACTTGATGTTGAAATTGGCGGATAATCCGGTGGTGTCTTGATCCACGTTCCATCCTCACGTTTCATATGATGCCGATCCGAAGCAAATTCTCGCAAGTACACATTGGCTGGAATTACTCTGAATCTTCTGTGATGCTCTGGTTGCAGCACTTCATCTGATCTGAATGTTTCCATCGCGTATTTCCAAAAATGCGTTGGAAATGGTAATGCGCTATCTAAATCATATACGACTGCTCTTTCGTCGGGTGCATAGATAAGAATTACATGGAAGTCCTATAAATACAAATATATGATTTTTTTTTTAAACTCATTATGATTAAAAAGATAAGAAATATGATTTTCTCGATATTAATAATCATTTTTTTTTTCCAACTGACCCAAACTACAAGCTTATCCTCGTCCTTTCCTGCTCGTTGTCGCCAAAGCGGTACGCTACGCCAGGAATTGCTCACAAAAACAACGTAACAATGTTGTAATTCTGATCCATGTCTAGTTGCTACATCCTGACAGAGCTTCCATACATTTTCTTCGCTAAAACGATACAACTTGTTCTTGCAAATGCATATATTTGAGAAATTAACACACAAAGAGACATATAATGCATACAAATATGATGCAACACAATGTAACAGAATGAATGAAAAAAATACAATACATAAAAAAAAGGAAGAAAGATAATTAGAATTATCTTTCAATCACAATGAATAAGAAAAAAAACTCCACACAAAAATAAAATAATAAGTTGAACAAAAGTTTAGATAAAAATTGCAAAACATAATATGCAGATAAATAAAAATATAAATAATATATAAAAATATCTTTAAATGTAGATTAAATTACATAACTGAAATCTTAAGATTATATTCAAAATTTTCATAACAAAAATGAAATTGTTAAATATGTTAAAGATGATTGATAAGAATGATGAAATATATATTTGTTATGAAATAAATGTAGAATACGCAAATCAAAACACGAAAAATAGATATCATTGTCAATAGAATCTTATAAACTATCTAGTATATATACATTATTAATTAGAAAAATATATATAGTTCTAATTAAAAATATAAGGAAGAGAAATCTATCTAATCTACCAATAGAACATGGAAATGCGCGGGTCTTTTCAAAACGAATAAATGGTATATTATGATTCGTGGATATTTTATACGTATCAAAAATGGCGGCAGCACATTGCACTGCTGTCTGTACTACTGCAATGTATCGATCCATCGCGGGATGTACCGCAATATGACACGTTTATTTGTTTAAATCAATATTTTTATAGAAAAATCTAGATAATCTCGCTGAAACTCTTACCAATAACAACTTGTATAAATACACTCTGATGCTTTCGGAAAAAGTTGTATCAACGGCTTCATATGCCCGGTTTCACGAGTCTCCCCGGCCATTCTTTGTTTACAAACTCGATCAAATTACACAATTTAACAAACTAATTTAACACTGATTTAAATCGTTAAAATACGTATGATTTCTGAATTAAACTGTACGCGAACATTATATTAATTGATTGAAATCAATTTGATCAGTTTATGAAAATTCAAAACGATCTCACACGTCCGTCCACACGGAACGACATTGTTTGACTACTGCTGCTCGCTGTTGCTCTATGATTTTCCTATAGTCGACTCGCACTTGAGTCGCTGTAGTAGTGCACATGCGCAGAATCAACCGATTTAAATCAGCAATTTTAACTTTACGTTTTGACAATATTTATTAAAATAAGATTTTACAAATTGATATATATGTTTGTTTTACACATGAAATAATATTTTTAAATAGTTTGATAATTAATTGCTTGTCTCTAAAACATCAATCTCGACGATTTATATTAGAATTTCAGTTCATTTTCAGTAATTTCTAATTTTTATATATTGTTAACAATAAATATTTGTTTATAATTTAATTACGCATAATTTAGTTAAGAAATTTGATATGTATATATGTATGTTAATACTATTTCATGTATAATACTTTTATATATATTTATATTTAATCATTAAATTATGACAACTTACACAAGTTTTTATTTTAACAATTATATAAATTGATTTATAAGGCCGATGAATATGGCCGACTGATTATTTATATTTTTACATATAATATTTATATATATAATATATAATAATATTTATATTGTATTTAAAATATAATCAAGCAATTTTTAAAATTGAAAATATTGCATGATAATTACTGACGATATCTTTACATACTTTATTATGTTGTTCGTGCATCAAGGGGGTTCGTTGAAAATCGATTAAGTGTAATATATCTAAAGTTAGTAAAGCTAAGACTGACCATGAACTTTGAATAATACAGAATATCACGTGCGTCATAACATTAGCTTGGGGTATAGAAATTCATCGACATTACATCACTAACCTCACTAACTAGTTCACTTTGTGACGATTACAAAAGTTTTATTTTCTCTTCTTACACAATTTTTATGGGAAAATGGCAATGAATGCTGCAAAAGCCGTTTTAAAACAAGGAAAAACAGTTTTACTAATATGCGATGTTCAAGAGAAATTCGCTAAAGCTATGTATGAATTTGGGAAAATCACTCAGAACTCAGTGAAACTGGTAAATATTAACAAACAATGCATATTGCATACGATTTAATGGTAATTTAATGATGATCTAGATTATTATTATTATATTTACAAAAATTACATAAGAAAGACATAAATTATGTCACATATTATCCACAGATAAATGCATTGAAACTTTTAAATGTTCCCATAATTGTTTCTGAACAAAATCCAAAAGCTTTGGGTAAAACTATTCCTGAATTTGATATTTCTGGTGCCAAAGGACCATTTGAGAAGACTCAATTTAGCATGTGTATTCCTGAAGTATGATCATTATATAATCGTTTTTCATAAAAAAAATATCTTATTTTCATATTAAAAATAATTTTTAGATAAACAAAGAACTCTCTACAATTTGTTCCGGTCAAAAACCAGATTCAATTATTCTCATTGGAATTGAGACCCATGTGTGCATAGAAAATACAGCAATCGACTTAAGACAAAATGGATATGAAGTACATACTGTTGCAGACTGCTGTACTTCTCGTACTCAAGAAGACAGATTATTGGCATTAGAGGTAAAAATTTAGTAATATGACAAAGAAAGAAGAAACTATACAAGAAACAAGTGAATAATCTATGTAATTTTTACAGAGAATGAAAAGAATAGGATGTCATATAGCTACTTCAGAGAATGTCATTTTTAAATTATTGGCAGATGCAAAACACAAGGAATTTAAAAATATCCAAAGTTTGGTAAAAACACCAACACAACAAACAAATTTAGTTCCAGTTTCACAATTATAAATATTCAACTGTGTTATATAAATCACTACAGAGATATTTTTATAACATGATAAACAAATTATATATGAAATTACTTTTATTTAAATATTAATATCCATAGGAATATAATTGTATAAAAAGTAAAAAAATATACATGAGATTTTTATTATTTTATTTTAATTTTTTCCTGTAGAACCAAATCCTCCATCTCCTCTGTCTGTATTATCTAAACTATTTACTTCCTGAAGTTCAGGATATATTATTTTTTCACAAATTAATTGGGCTATACGATCTCCTGGTGAAACCTTAAAAGGTTCATTACTGTGATTAAACAATACTACTCCTACATTTCCCCTATATAAAAAAAAAAAGAGATAAATAAATAGCAATATTTTTGATACAAATATAATACAATCACACATCCATTCATCCTATTATAAAATACATCCTATACTATAAAATACATAATTATTTCCAACATCTATAAATCCTTGCATTTCTTTATATTGTTAAAAAATTATATTATTTATAATTTAATTTGTTTAAACTCGCTCACCGATAATCAGCATCAATAACGCCAGCGCCTACATCAATATGATATTTCCATGCCAATCCTGAACGCGGTGCTATTCTTCCATATGTATTTTCAGGAACTTCAATTTGTAAATCAGTTTTAATAAGTTCTTTACCATTTGGAGGCACAATATATTCATAAGCACTGTTAAAAGAAGAAAATACATATACCTGAAACTTTGCAATTTTGTCTAACCTAGATATTTCAAAAACATACCTTCTTAAATCATATCCAGCGGCATATTTTGATCCTTTTGTTGGTACAAATGCTTTTTCAGTTAATTTTGCGAATTTCAATACTGTCATGATTAAATTAAGTGAATTTTTTTGATTATAACAAAACTATGCAAATTATCGGTAGCAAATACGTTTTATATATATATATACATATATATATGCGATATTTTACCGCGCATTTTAACTACGTTAGTAGAAATTACGTTATTCAACATAACGATTATTTTGAATATTTTTTAAATAGATAAACATTTAATATTACAATATTTTTCATATTTTTATGATTTAAATGAAATTAATAAATACATTAAAATTTTTTTAAAAAAACAATAATAAAAAATATGTATATGTATTTATATTATTATACTATAAATTTTAACCTTAAAAACAATGTCGGATGTTTTTTAGATGGCGTTAATGTAATACTTGTTTCAATAGATATTCAGCTTGTTTTAAAAGAATATAATCGGCAAAATATATATCAAATGTGATTTTTTGTCATAAATTTGTTCAAATATATATCTATACTTACATAATGACATATCTAATTAATATATGTGTAACATTATGTTCTCAACAACAATGCAACACATGACTATACTTGGTTTACAAAAAACGCAATGAGTCTGCTTATCATGTTTTAAACTACATGACAAGGTCATTTATTCGAAATTAACTAATATTTCGTGGCTTTTTGGTTAACACGTTGGAAGTAGCCACGTTGGCTTGATATACATGGCTTACTTATAAGATAAGAATCTTCGACTTGACCAATCATCAGTCGTATGTTCGATCATCGCTTATCTTCCCGCCAAACACGAGTGATCTTTTCAGTAAAACGATCATCTGTTTCAAGAACATCAGTAGTTTTCTTAAGATTTTTTCAATTTTTATCTCAATCAAAATCTCAAAAATTATTATAATAATTATAATTTAATTCTCTGTGTTCTTAAATTATTATAATTCTTCGATCAAGTGAAAAAACAGGTATGAATTACAATTGAGCATTCCGAGTAATTTGTTTAATAATTTCTTCTCTCATTATAAAGAGCCTGTTAATAGATTTTAAAATAAAATGGATATTTTTTTATTCCAAATAAAATTTTAAACTTTTTGAATGCAATGAAATTCATTAAGTTAGTTACTGTTGCTGTGCAAAAATGTCGTTATCTAATCTTTAAAAGTAACGTACATTTTTTTAAGATGATCGTATTTAAAAATCTATTAATATAATCGAATAATATTTCTAATTAGGATGTGGATGATACTTGCAAGTGGCTTTTTAGCTATTGCATTAACAAATGCGGATAATACAGCAAATATGGCTTTTGATGCAACAAATCCTTCCGATGCGCTTCCTGGCTTCGATGGAAAGGTTCCAACGGCGAAAGAACTTCTCGAAATGCTCGATTCGATGAATGGCTTATCAGATGAAGAAAAATCGAGTCTTAGAGAAAATTTATTAAAGAATCTTCAAGAAGATCGTGTCCCTGAGGTGATGTCTGGCAATGATTTGACAATGCAAACTATGGTTCTTTTATCCTTATTGGGCATTGTTGCTCTCATCTTTGGTAAATATTTTGATCCAAATTTTTTAAAATTAAAATTATTTTAGCAATTTAATTTTATTAATTAGGAAAGTTATGAATTTCTTTTTAAAGTATTGATCATGATATATATTGATATTAGGATTGTATATGCCATTTTGTTTTTTCTGAATAATTTCAAAAGGCTGATTCAGTAAACATTTTTGTTTTCTCAACTAAATTGCATAATAAAAATGATTGTATTACATTTCATTATTTCTACATCAAGTATGAACAATTTAACGTGTCACACGTTATCTAATCGATCACTTCAATATTGCCTGCGATGAATTTTATTTAATCAATTCAATCTTTTCGTGCTAACAAGATTATCGATTTTACTTGTCGATTAAAAAAGAAAGTTCTGTGATTATTTCTTAGTGTTTTGTGCGAACGGTATTGAAAATATGGCACAAAATATTTTGAATTTGTTGCGAGATAAAGGCGTTTTGTCTCACAGTGAGCAAGAAAAATTATTAAATTTAATACCAGACAATACCAAAGAAAAATTGTTTAATATCTTTCAGCGATATCAAGAATTAAATGATGAAGAAAAACAGCAACTTGTGCATGAATTAGTCGGAAAGTTTAAACAAGTTTTAGAAGATAAAATGAATAATTATTCCAGCTTATATACATATTTGTTTCATTCATACTTAATTTTCATTTTTGCTGTATTATTTGTAGTTTTCATTTTTGGTATGTTATTTTTATAACGTTTTAACATTTAAAATGAATCATAAGCGTCAGATTATTTTTGATAACCATTTGATGATAATAATAATTTTCTTCTATTTTATAACTTGATGTTACTTTATATTTTTCATTTATATTTTTATGATTATAGTTTTCTTCGTTTACAAATTGTTCAAATGCTTATCGGACAGAGAAACAAAACGACAAGAGAAGAAGAAGAATAAACAAATGAAGAAGAAAAAGTAATGCAAGTGATACAAAAATAAAAATATGCAATGTGTTATAAATCATAGCGATATATCTTGTTGTTACGCGAATAATCTTGTTGTATTTTATATGAAAAATAATTTATAATTTACAAAATATTCTATTTTGTTAAATAAAATAATATATTTATAAATTATAAAAGTGGAAATTTATTTAAAAGAGGGGGGGCGGGGGACAATATATTTTGGCAAAAGGATATTTATTGTGCCGTTTTGTGACATACATAACATACGTCAAAATACTATATAACATGCAATCAAATCAACACATTTTTGTGTGGACGTGTAAGTTTCTATTTTTTTTAATATCATTTTATATAATGTCTAAATTAAGATATACAGATATTTTTTTCTTAACACATGTACAATCCTAATAATTGTTACACGATTCGTTCGATTGATATAAACAATATGCGTTTTACATCACATTGAGGATTGAGATGTGCTACTAGTTCAATTCACGTAGGAATATATGTGATTAGACATAAATTATAGAAAAAGATATTAGCTAGTGTTAGCAATAGTATTATATCGTAAACATCGATATAATTTCAATAATTTGTATATATTTATTCATAATTCTGGAATTCATTTTTTGCAAAACTTCTATCTTATGATTTAACATTTGCTTGTAAGTTATAATACTTGGTATGTTGTCCATGATTTACAATATTTAGGAAAAATATATCTTCCTCTAGTTTGTACTGAAATAGAATTCTCTATGATAAAGTAATTATCATTACTCTTGTCAAAAGTTTATTAAATAAATTTTAACACTTTGTTATGAACCAAAAAAAAAAAAAAATAAGGCACTTATATTTTTTCTAAGGACGTACTTTGAAGAATAGAAACTTTAATTGATACTTTCTATTCTTTGCTTTGGCAAAGTGGCGTCTTTTGGGAGTGAGTTTACACTCTTTTAAGACTTAAGAAGTTATTTAATGATAATATGATGATAAAAAAATATTACATTTTATGTAAAATAAGGATTATATTCATCAGTGGCATAATTCATTAATGTTCTAGTTTTGCAAACTCAAAACAAAACATTTGATTTATACCAATGAATAATTATAACAGTAATATTTGTTTACTAGATTTATAATTTTTGTGGCACAAGGATTGAGTAATTGCGATAATCACCGTATATATTTTCTAAAATAAACGATTTACTTAAATTCTAATAAAAAAAATTAACTGAATTTATATATTATCTTTAGTAATTGAAATTTTCGTATAAAATAATATATGATATTATTTGACACACACATATATATGTATGTATATATATTTTTAATGCTGAAAATGAACATGTTCATTTAACATTAGAAATATCAATTTTCCTGAAAATAACTATACTGGAATCTTTTAATGAGTATTGCATATAAAATATGGGTAGATTTCCTCGTCTTTTTATTAATAAGGCCTATCTTTCTTCGATATTCTTTTTTACCTGATTGTATAAAATAATTATCTCAAATTAATTAAAAACTAAATAGTTTACTAACTATTATGAATAAATAATTCAGAAATATTTTCTGATAATATTGTCGTAATTTAAAACGAAAAAAAAATCGACAAATTTTTAATTACGCAATAAGTTATTTTCATCTTACTACGTAATAAATTCTTTATCGAATCACAGATTCGTTTGGCAAATTTGGGATATATGGAAGATCTACTACATAATTTTGCAATTAATTTATCAGTAATTGTATCTTTTAAGAACGCGACGAAGGCTTTAGAAGCAATTTGTAGCGTTCGCTCGTATTATCTACAACAGAATAAAAATGATTTATTAAAATCATTGATTAACAAAATGAAGTAATAAAAATTTTAATGCAATTTTCAATTTTTTACATTACCTTTGATAGTTTCAACGAAATACATGCTTTCGTCTTTCATGTTTGCTACCAATTCATCGGTAACTAACACATGGATACCCTGAGGACCAAGAAAGAGAACAGAATGGAGTCGATCATGAGATAAACTTAAGGTGTTCAGTAACTTATTTATCAAGGCACTACTGGTCAGACTGTCCAAGTAGGCGACTCTCCAAAGTGAACTGTTGTCTTCCAGCGAGAAATAAAGGGTAAGTTTTGGGGTTGGCGCCTTTGAATGCAGCGCGTTGAACAATCGGATCCCATCGGCCAGGCCACAGATTTGAATTAAATCATCCCTAGAGAGTCGTAAAATATCCGAAGCAGAGAAGCTTGCGAATGTAGATTCAAATGCGTTGAAGCGACTAGCACGAAGCCATGTCGTTGTCTGTGCCGCACTTGCATCAGGTGACAATTGAACCAAACATGACGATCTCTGCATAAACGTATAAATTATATTTTTATGAATTTTAATTTTAATGTTTAAATTGTAATTTAACTTTGTAATTTAAATTGTAATTTTTTATAAATAAACTAACTTCAGTTTCGATACAAGATTGGTCTGGTAAAATTGCCGCAGGCGATGGTAGAGCAGGTGCTGTTCCCACGTTTTCCTTCACAGCATCAGAAGCAGGAACTAGTGGTACGATACCTGGATTGGAAACTGAAAGTGCCAAGGGTGCTACTACTGGTGAAGTATTGCCACTTATAGTAGAGCGACTTTGAGGAGATCTGTAAGAATAATAGAATTCTTTTTAATATAATTGAATACTTGTTTTTTGATTCGTGTCTCTATTTTAATCAGTATAAATTTAAGATGTGCATGCGCCATTAAATGCCCCAGTATTTTTATATTCATCAACGCAATTCATCAAAGTAGACACACTATGAAAGATTGCGGTCCATGTAGAACATGAATTAACGACATTAAGCACAATGAAAGCAAATACGGTAATAATTGACACTGCAACCTATCGCTATTCTACGAATATTAAGTCATTAGGTTCTGTCAATGTTCAAGGAACTAGAACCATTATTCATAATAAGAGTTCCTTTTTTCAAACACGCGAAAACATAAATAATATAATTGTTGACCTTAAAATTATCTAATTTATTGCAAAGTTACATAAGCATGTAAAAATGAGATCTAGAAAAGCACGCGAACTAATTTCTTTGCCTATTTTTGTTTTTTTGTACTCTATATTCTTTTTATTATCTTACATGGCGCGTCTTTTCAAGCGAAAAATCAGCTTGGAAATCCCTTTCCCATCGATCCTTTTGTTATTTCTGCCTTTTCTTATCGTGAGACTGATTAATCCTCCGCGCATGAGATTACCTCTTCTCGTTCTGGATTCCGAAATAGAATGAATAAACTTAGCCACAACTTCCACTTGTAAGGGGCCTCCGCTGACCGTTACTTCGTGTTCCAGAAGATAAGTCGAGGCATTTCCACGAAATTTGGCCGTTGATTTGATGGCCCAGCAACTTTTCAACTTCCAACTGGGACAATTCTTTGTCATCTCGATAAGTCGTGTTCTAGATTCTATTATTTATTTTCAGAACAAAATTTCAAGTGTGGATTTTTATAAAAAGATTCGTGATTTCTTGGAACAGTTTCTTTCGACTTTTCATTCGCTCTTTCATGAATATGTGCAATCTGAACACAGGAATTCTGGAATAATTCTTTATTTTTTCTTCGCCCATTCGTGTAAATTTTAATGTCGAAAATCGATCCTTTTTCGTCAGTTCAACTTCGAAGAATGTTTATCCAATGAAGAAGAATTGAGAGTACATTTTACTCTCATTCGATTTTATTTTCTCAAAAACGATATATGTAGTTATATTAATTTCTCGATTATTATTAATATATCCAAAGTATAAGCAATTGTAAATTTCATTCGAAACTGAAATCCAATTAATCGTTTGAAAGTTTCGATTCAAGAAGACTGATGTTATGTACAATCGTTACGAATCAGATTACTATTGGTACGCGAGTCTGCTCTGAACCGGATATCTCTAGTTTCGTCTTCGTTCATAATCGCGTTAAATTTGCAAAAAAGAAAAAAAAATCTTTTTAACAATGAAAAAATAAGCTGTACTTTCTTTCATAAATTCTTTTTAATTTCCCGAGACTAACTTCTTGCGATTTTTATTATTTGCACTTTTGTTTCGTAGCTTAATTAACGAGCAATATCAAGAATTATCATTAACTATAGTAGTAGCCATTTGTATTTGAAATCCACTTCTCGTTACGTGACAAACAATTTTTTAAAGACTCGTTTCGTTTACCAGCCAACCGGCAAATCGTTCAAGCGCATCATCAAGTGGTTCTCGTTTCTCGTGTTTCCATGGTTTTATAACCAATTAGAAATTAAAAAGATAGAACGGAGAACACGCGATTTCTTTTCCCGCAACGAAGGAATTCGTTGATCGTAATCAAATCAAACGATAATAAAAATTCTTGTTCTCGTAAATCAATTTCTTTTCTCGATAGGATTACGCGGCCGAACAAAATCAGCGAAGTTTTTCGTTCATTGATCTTTTTGAACGGTCACTTAGCGATTATAGAATACCCAACATTTAATTCAATATTTTATCGAGCTTTTGACGAACAATTTTTATCGAAGGCACAAAATCGCGCGTTTTGTTTACGCGGGTCGAAAAGGAAGTTTCACATAGAAACGTATTTCAGTTCAAGGCCGAATAGAACCGCCTTGGCATCAGCTTTTCGGCGGCCAGGCTGCTCGTCATCTAAGGAAGTGATCCTGGCGTGACAGGAGCACATGATTGGCCAGGATCTCACGCACAAGCACGTTTTGATCATCAACACGTAACAATTCGAGATCAAGAATACTCGACACGCATGACGATTCTGAATGATTAGCTGGAAATCGAAATTCTACACCGGACGAGGGCATTCCAACGGCGTGTAGCGGCTTCACTCTCGATTCGATGTTCGATAGATAAACTTTCCTCAATCTCGACAGTTCTTTGCTCGTTCTTACGAATTACACAGAAAAGTAGTCAAATCACAATATACGACGCATGCGAAGCACGATTTCCTTTCTAGGGAAAAATTATCCTTGTTGCAATTTCTCGAACATTACACGTTTGGTTTAAATTTGTGCTGTTTCCTTTTTTAATCTTATCCTTCGATATTTTTTTCGTTTTGTACGTGTCCGTATATAAAATCGATGTCTCGTTTCACGATCGATCTTCGATGCTAGAGAAAAAATGGCGCTGTTCCGGGATTCACGTACGATTTATTTTTAAATTCACGGTCAATGCAGTAATCTGTATCCTGATGCTTTATTTGTCGATGTATGTGCCGGAACTCGAGAGAAATCGAAGGTTTCAACACTTTGTGGATTATTTCACAAGATAAAAATCGTTGTATTTGTCTCGTACATCGTGTATTCGACTCCCGGTCGAGAATTATCGACACTGACCAATCCACGCAAGATTTAATTCCCTTTGAACGATGAATGTGTTCCGTTGCCGAGTCCCCTCGGTTACCTTTATCACGTCCACTTCTCTAACTAATGACAGTAATGGCTCGAGGTCACGAAAATGCGATAACGAGTGCGTATCGATTACTCGCGAGAATATCGCGACCAGCGATCGCCTCACAGTAGAACGAATAAGCAAAAACACGTACGAATATAAAAAATTACACGAAAAGATAGTCACTGATCACTGATTGTCACGTTTTATTTATAAACATGCGTTAGATTAGCGGTAGATCATGTCTGCGGTTCTCACTGATTACCGTTTTCGTTGACTATTTCTGATTCACCAACAATGTATCCTGTTTCGAAGTAATTACAACAAATATAAAAAATAGAAGAAATTGATGAACAAATTGAGAATTTAAAATTCCCAAATTGTGAAAAGTTGAACGAAAAAAATTGATGGGTAAACGTAGAACCGAAACGGCTGCGCAGCGGTGCGTGTATCGTGCAACGTTCTGAATTTATTTGTCGTCGAGGTTGTCTCACTCTTTTACTCGGAGCATCGTTGTCGGCTCTACCAGTTGCCGGCTTGTGCCAGTTCGAGCCAGTTTCACAACTCCCGTACCAGCACCTCCTCTTCCACCACTTTATCCCGAGCCTCGTATCGTCTATTGCCATTGCTTTCTGCCACCACTTTACGAACTACTTCTACCATTCTTACATCTCCGCGATTCATCCGCAATCCCCCACCATTAATTTTGCGGTTGTTCAAAGCGAAACGGCAACATAGCCTTGCATTGCAAGGAAGGAACATCATGCACCATGTATATTCTTCCTCTCTCGAGATTTCCTCTCTTGCTATGTATACTTGCTATGTACTTACTATTGTTTTCACTAAACTATATGTTCTTCATGAATTTTTTTATTTTTGTTTGATTTTATTGTTCGATCTGAATATCGAGAAATATTACGAATCTTCTTTTTGCACATTTTAATTATAAATATGAGACACGATTTTTGTATCATGTTTACCGCGAATTATGTTATTAACGTATTAATATTACTATGTTAAAATTCGCGTTTACATAGAATTATTGAAAGGTAGTAGATTTTTTGAATGCATGAATTTTATGTTTTGTGAAATATATATTTGCACGGAGGTCAATCGATATATATATATAGATTGTTATTTAACCAAACAGAAACTTGTAGTATCCGGAATAGGCCAGATAATTTATATGAGAACACAAAAGTTACTATATCACCTGACACATCGATTATTAACAATATTTTATGGTATCATAAAATAATAAATATAAGAACTTAAAGAATGAATGTCATAAATTAAAAAGAAAAAATCAATGATATGATTTATATTGATTATTTCTTTTTTAAAATATAATTTTTAATTAACGATTTTATTATATGTATACGGGAAGAATTAAAATAAAAAATATTTTGATACCAATACTGATATGTAATGATAAGATAATGCAAATCAAACACAATTAAAGATATTATAAATTGTGGTTTGAATTTGATACCACATTAATAAAAATATTTATATTTAGAATTATAATTGTGTAAATGTATCGTAAAATAAATAAAAATGGAAATAATATTCATATTTGTACTTACATTGCCTCTGTTGAAGCATAGGGACTTCCACCACTTTGTGTGATCAAATTAGATGGTGATAACGAGTCTAGGGGAATCTGTAATCAAACATAGAATCCAATCTGGTTAATTTGCTGTGAAAAAAATCTCGAATGTCGATCACTTACGTCGGAGAGAACCGTGCAGTCGTAACTTGGCTGATACTTGTCTTGCTCATGTGGTGGTCGTCGCAGTATTTTGTCACGATCTTGCTTATGTTTGCGATCAGCTCCTTTCAACTTGAAAACTTTTACCTGGCAAGAAGCAGCGTGCAAACGAGGGCCTCCCGGCAATCGCGTTTCCACTTGTATTCGAAAGGGCACGCCTTTTTCCCCACCATGTTTCTTGGGCGTAAATTCAGTGCTAATACAGTTCACCTAAGGCAAAGGTATCAAATATCATCTTAGTTTCAAGTTTATTAATCGAACCTATTCATTCTGATATATGATATTGAGGAAAAGCAATAAATTCTATCGAATCGAATCAGTTTTTTTGATTCTTCTTTAACATTTGGTCAAGTTAAAGAATAACATTTCAGAAAAAATATAGTTTTGAAAGGAAATGTGTATTTATTTCTTACTTTTTATTTCTAATGCGTCTACCTTTATATATACGCCAACTTCCTTGGTAGGATCCCACATAAATTCTACACTATTATTTGATGGAGATGGTTGACAAACATCTACCATTCCATAACTAAGAGGAACATCGACCTCGAGTAATCTTTCACCAGGTCTTGCGCGTTGCCATGCGAGCATCTGTTCCCTTTCAGTATACTGAAGTCTCCTCTCGTGGAAGCAAATGCGTATTGTCGACTGAAACAAAAACGTTGGATGTCCCTTCAGAGACGTTGTAGCACCGTTTGGGAGACTCACATCTTTCGAACGTCGAGGATTTACGAGCTCCTACCGAACTTGTTACTTTGTGAAAAATAACGAAATGTAATTTTTAAGAATTTGTCAATATTATACATATTGTACAAATGCACTATATAATCAGCATGAGCTCTTTTGATTCCATTTTAAGAAATTAATACGTTTTTTAAGATGTTGCTACCCAAACATAGACAATCTCTTGTTCTATTCTGGGAAACGGATAATAGTTGATCAAATACCTTTAAAATTTTCCCACGATAAGCAGATAAATCACCTAATTTCTTCAATTTAATCTCGTACGATTGTCCCTGGTTCAAGTAAGTGAGCGTTTCTTCGTTAACTTTCGTTGCAATACTAGTAGCAGCGGCAAGCACATATTGAAAACTAAAAAAAATATTATTTTTCTGTATTTGATATAATTCATATAATTGAATATTCATAATTCAATGTAACATTATCGAATAACATACCGGCAATCCTCGTTGAGCTCGCTTCCCTGTTGAGAGGAAGACACATGATTTCCTGAGGATGATGTTGGAGGATATTCTTCGTTTGAGGGATAAAGCAACTGATGAAGACTAGTTGCTGTCTGTCCATTATTATTACTATCAGCTTCAACAGAGTTGTTCACATTGTTCGCTGGTGCCGAATTATTAATTGTTCTCTGTGATACGTGGTTTAAACTGAAGCAAACATTGAACGAGAAATAACATCAATTAACTATATGCATTCCTGTAAAGTTTGATACGTTTGCACGAAAGGATAAGAATGTTTACATTTATTACGTGCTAATAATATAGTGCTTCTTCGAACAAGTTTAAACGCATTTGTGATTAATTTCATATAAACTGCACTCACTATAAATTAAAAAATATCGAGGGCGAAAAGATTAAATCCGAGGGAGTTTTCATTGCCGTTGAAACTAGTTTCAGGAGGATACCAATTGCATCGCACAAAATAAAATTACATTTAATTCGCGGTTGTCACGAATAGTTTTCACTGATTCGTCGGAATGCTTGACGTTATTATATGTTGTGTGGGTTTCGTGAAACGCAGTGTTCCTAATTAGGAGCAATTTCTACACAGACAATTCATTATTCGCGCAGTTGAAATAATATGCTCTTAAGGTTTTCATTTTTTTCTTTCTAAATTGTCCACCAGCAGATAAGTAACTACGTCCATCCAAACATCATGGTTTCTTTTCTTTTTTAAAAAGTTAACTTGCTCGAATAACTCTTGGAATTTACCACAATCTGTAATAATAATAATAATTTTCGAGTTAAAAGATATTCGCAATAGTGCAAATGATCACGTTCGGAAGAATCACGTTTTTCGCACGACCGATCAGTCAGACAAGCAACTGACATTTAACACTGACAGATACCGCGAGATAACTCGCGAGGAACCTCGTAAGAGTAAAGGTCTGACCTGCGTGCCATTTGCCTGATAGTTGTGCGAAAAAACAGGACGATAATCTTGTGTCTCTGCGGGGGAGTCTCGTGGCAAATTCCGCTGTCGGCTTTGTTTTCTTCTTTTAAGATTTTTCTTCCATCGTTTCCACGACTGTTGATTGCTCATGACTGGTGTGCCGATTAATTGCAACTGATGTGAACACGTTTCGACTTGTGACAGGTGGAAGCAAAAATAGAAAAAGGGAGAAATACTTGTCTAGATGCAATTAACGAAACGAACATGAGCATACTCGCGCAAGACGATGTCTCTAATATAAATAAAAAATAAACAAAAAACGTTTGGCAATTTTTGCACCGTGTTTAGAAGAACTTACTTGGAATTTTGCTGATTTTCTGGCGATGGCGCCTCTTGTTTAAATACCGTCAATGATGGTAATGCAAGCAAGGCTTCGCTGTAAACAAATTTCAAATAATTATGCATACGTAGTTCTTTTCGTGTTCTGTTTGCTTTCAAGATATAAAGTGTAATTTTCGAGGCAAACAAATTAGATTTTTATGGGAACAAGATTTTTCTGCGATTATTTAATAATCTTTTATGCAATTGCACTCTCGTTTATTGCGATGTTTGCTTCAATAAAATGACATTAAAATCGATTTAAGTCGAATGAGTGTTTATCCGATAATAACTGATAGATTCCGGTTTTCGCTATCGACTTTAATTGATTAGAATCTCATGGCAGAAATGAATAAGATATAAAATATCCCAGTAAAAATAAAAAATTATAATTATAAATTATACAATATGATTTAATTTTTAAAAAATTTCACCAATTATCATGGATCTATTATAAAATCATAAAAAACGCCGATATTTATGTATATATTTACATGTCTTAGACAATTTATTTAAAGATAAAGAATTCACTGCGAAATAAAATCCAGCGCAAATTGGAGAGAAATTATTGCGACTTACATAAACTTCATTTTATGGAAGTTGAAAAAAATCTCAGATACTCTCATCTCTACACAGTTTTTTCTTGCTTTATGATCTTCTAATCGTTCTATGCTTAAAACTGAAATTAAGAACAAGAATAATTTAATTTTGTCGAGCAATCATGTAATGATGATACTGTTAACATAGTCGTAATAAGGTAATTGATTTCATGATATGCAATTTAATTATTAAAACAAAATAAAGAACGAAAGAATAGTTTGAGAACCGTTATGATAAGAAATTGAGTCACTAAGGTCAATGAAAACCGGAACATACCAGTTTGAATGTAATGAAATTAATAATAATAAATCTACTAATAAAATACGGTACAAATTAGTTATAAATTTAGGATATTACTATGTAAAATTGAAAATAAAAATTTCACTCTATCTAACTTTATTTAATTATAAATCATACTGCAAACAAGAATATTTTTTTGTCATATTAAAAAATTAACAAATAAAGAAAAAATTTGGCATGAAGAAAACTTTTACGTCATTTTATTCACTCACCTACTTTTTAAATATTGATGCATGATTCCGATACTCGAAATTCAAGCTCGAATTTTTCTCTTTGTAAACATTTAGCAATTTCACGAATACTATAATCAATTTGCTTAGCTATATACTTAACGATTTTTATACATTTTTTTTTTTATTATATTTGAATGAAAGTGATTTTCTAACGCAAGTTTTTTTATATAAATTACATCCACTATTTTAGTATCACATATTGTTGAATATCACGTGATTTATGTACGCGGTAAAAAATGAAACTATTCACTGGTATTAAATTTAACTAATTTAAAAATAATCAATTCCGCACTCGTGAAAAGTTCTTGGGATTGATTTTATTTAGATTCACGTTAAGAGATAACAGTTTTTAACAATTTTTCAGTCATGAATTTTCAAAAATTATCACTATGTCTTATAGCGATGATGATATGAGTATCACGTGTAATCCTATCAGCTGATTCTTGGCGGTGGTTGTGCTGCTTCTCCACTAGCGCTTACAAATGCGGGCAATGTGTGTTATCTAACATTGAAAAGTTTCAAATGATTATTTCCTGTTATTTTATTCCAACGATTAGAACCGGAAATTTGAATAAGCACAAAGTATCCTACTTCGATTTATCCTCTCTTATTGAGAATTTAAATAAACGTATGAGCTGTTAATTTATTATCGAAGACATTAACGAGATTAAATTAAAAAAAATAGATAAATCGATAAGCGATAGTCAAACACATATGAAGAAAATCTTTTTTAAACGAGGACGTTTGTTTCGAAACGTGTTTCGAAAATACTTTAATAAAAAAAAAAAAAAACGAAAAAATAGACGATCTATACAGGTGTAAATCAAATAAGATAGCAAAACCAAGAACAATTTCGCTTAACGTAATGCTCTGGCGAATTCTAAAACCGTAAATGTAAAAATTGGTAAAAATGGTACAATTGAGTGCAGGATGGAAACGCACATGCCTGTACGCGCAGAGACTCGGTAAGCGTCTAAACCTCTGTAAACGGCGTGATTTCCCAGCGTATTCTGTTCAAGCCACAAAACACCGACAACCGTGTCTGGTTTTAACCGGATTTCTGACTCGACATACTCCTTTCCCACTACCGTCTACTGTTTTAATCGAGATTCGATCCACTTCTGTACACGAGGATCTTTAGAAACCTACTTTATCGGCTAGTCTTATGAACAAATCCTTCGTGATCGACTATCGGTTCAGCCTTAATGAAAAATTCAACTATTTCTTGCTTTTTCTTTTTTTTTTTTTTTTTAACTTAGAAAAAAATAACTTTCTTACCTACTTTTTTGGATATTACTAAAACTAAAATTTCCGAATCCTGCACTATCAGGCAGAACTAATTTTAATTAATTAAGGCACGATTTTATCCTATTTCTTTCCCTTGTTTGCCTCCAAGATTTGAATTTACTTTTTTCATCATAACTTTTCCAAGAAATGTATCTTCTCTGACGAAAAAAATATTTATATTTTACCTCATATTATAGGAAGCGACTGCTGTTGCAAGATCGGATGCTGCAAGAGCTGAGAGCGATCCATCGAAGTCGGCGGCAAGATGTTCGGCCAGCTCCTCCACTTGGGTTGACCATCCTTGTCCAGAACCATTGCTCCCGACAGATCCTGAAAATATGAAAGAATTGAAAATATTGCAACGATTATTTCATTGTTAAGAAAAAAAAAAAAACAATCTTATCCTTTGCTATCTTAGATCAAAGATCAAATCACCGTGATATCTTTAATTTTTACAACCTTGTACATTAGCATAATTGATGTAAAACTGATGGTGCATAGCGCCAATCCTCGATTTGGTATCCTGAAGGGCCATAACTGCGTTTCGTCTTCGATTCTTGGAAGTTATAGCAGGATATCGTCTAGTGTGTAATAATGGTAACCTGGCGCTGTCTACTTCACACCACTTCATTCTATATCTCTGCGAGGGGATAAACGAAGCTAGCACACTTGTAAGAATACCACCGAAATAAAAACGATGCGCGTATACCTTCGCGTAGTTTCTCTCGGATGGAGAACTAGTATTAACTTCCTCTCTCTCTTTCCTCGGGTGGACTTAATCTGCGATACACTGTGTACTCTGGAGTTATCAGTTTCTCTAACCACGTGGTCAAAAAGGCGTCGAATAAACGCATCACGGTACTTTTACTGAATCAGTCGTGAAACGTTCTTCGAACAAGCATCTGCTGTACGAATTTCGACATTTTGGGGCAAGGCTAAAGAATGTTTCGAATCAAATTAGAATGTATTACAACGTAACGTTACGGTACCTCGGAAGTTTTTGATAACGGGAACTTATTTTGTGGAACGTTCATACAAAACGAACGAATTGTGCACGATAAATGGAATTTAATCAGATAATCCGTGTTCTTTTCAAGTATATAGAAATTAAAATTGTATCTGGCATAATTTAAAGAATCCAACGGCTGTTGTAGAAATTAATTAATGGAATTGTGAGTGCCTACGACTGTGTATCTGAGGTCCTCGTCACGACCTTTTGAACGATATGTCTATATTGAGAGCTGTATGATAGCAACAACAGTGATGTAGTCAGAATCGAATATTCGCTAAAAGACAAAAGCAAAAGAAAATGGGAAATTTATAAGGAAACAATAATACGTTCTACATTCGTTTTTAAGGGATGAGGATAAATTAATCCGTCTTACCTTTTTCTAAACAATTTTCTCAACAATCAACAGTTCTAGTTGAATTAACTCCGGTGAACTCTAATACATTTCTAAATCAATCCAATCAATAAAATTCATAATTGTAATAGAGTAATTTATAATTTTCAAATATTTTTAAATCATACTAACCATCTCTCTTAGCATGCTTCTTCTCGAGTTCTGTAATTTGCGACAACGGCTCTCCGGCTCGACGTTTCAGGGTGCTCTGCTGGCAATTGGGGGAATTGTCGGAAGACGGGCTAAGATGTTGGGGCGATTCGCTGCTCGAACGTATTTGGCCACCGTCCTCTGGGGAATCCTTTGGTGAGTCGTATTTATCCTGCCATAAAGAATTTTGCGCACTGTGATATCCCATTGACGCCTAAAACGTTTGATCATCGTCAGTTCACGGGATGAAACGCGCGGAGCTTCACGGTTATTGTTTTAAGACGGCTAATAGCACATCTTGCGCAAATGAATCGAATCCTGAGCCGTTGTGAGAGCGTTCAATGCGAAAAGAAAGAAGAAAAATTTGGCCGATCTCGTGATGCTGGAAACATGCCGAACTCTTCGCCCCTCGCGAAATTAATGAAAATTGGCGAGCAACGTGAAGCGTCGCGTTCAACGCGTACCAACGAGATGATATCGCTATCCCAAGGAAAGAACATGGCAAAACTTACGTGCTGAGTGGCGATAGGGTCACATCTGTTCTGACGAACTGGGGACAGCTGTTCGTACGGAGGTGACGGTGTATTGGGAAACCATATCGTTCCATTCAAAGCATCTGCACCGCCGTCCATGATGAATTGGAGCTCCATTCAACGACTTTAAATCTCGAAGCACTCGTGTCAGAGGGTTTTACTTTTCAGGCTACACTACTACCTTTACTCCGAAAAAACCAATTGTTTTGATCCTAATCACGATTACTATTCCACCCTTACCAAGTTCGAGTGCTCAAAGATTCTTTGGAGAACGCTTTGGTGGCCTATTTGGAAGAGAAGGCTATAAGTCCGATCTAGTTAGAGCATCCACGATGAAATTTTCAACTTAGGGACTTAGGGGCTTCTCCTTTCTAAGCGTTAACGTACATTCTTCAGGTGGATAATTTTCCCAGTCCTTTTTCTATTTTTCTTTCTTTTTTTTTTTTTTTGGCCGCTTCTCGTTTTCTTCGTTCAGCTCCTTTCCCTTTTCTTTCGTTTATTAACCAAAACGTCCTCCTTTTTTGTGCGTTCTCCGCGTATTTTTCTTCGGGATCGACAACGATCTCGGAAGTGCACGGTGCATCACTCGTTAGCGAAGGGCCGAACTTCCTTAAGGAAGAGTTATCCTTAGAACATTACGAAGAAGCTATTGTACAATTTCTTGATGCCAGTTGTTTCGCGTTGCCGATGCGTTTCTAGGAGTGCGCAACCCCGTGACTTAAGGGAAAGAAACCGCGAAAAGACGACGAACGCGTCCTCGAATACCATCGCCACACCTTGGCTGCAACGCATTTTGTTACTATTTTTTTCCCTTGAAAATCTACGAGTTTCGCGAAAGGACAGCCACTTGTTACTTTTTCTCTTTCTCTCTCTCTTTCTCTCCCCCTCTCTCACTCTTTCTCTCTTCTTCCCGTCGTATCGTTAAATCCGAATAAAATGTTCGATGGAATGGAAGTTCGACCGAAACTTTGTCACTTGTTAGTTGTAAGATGAAACTTAGATCAGAATTCGAATTCTAGAAATTCTATTTCGTTTTTATTTTATTCTCTCGATAAAAATTCGTTTTCTTTTTTTTTTTTTCTTTTTTTAATATATTATACGTTATAAAAAACGAATTGTCGCTGGGGTGTCACTGGACACGTAAAAATATATTTTTCTTTCTAACGACTATGGCTCACACCACTTGATAGTGTCTCGATAATCGAAGGCCTTCGCCTATCACGTCGTCACCACATTTTCAGGATCCTTCGTTCCATGATGCCGACGGAAAGATAAACCTGATCCAGAAGGGGGGAAACGAGGCTTCGTGGCGTAAAACCAAATGGTATTTGTTTCGTTCCCCGATGTTCCTCAAACTTCTTTCCGCGCTGGGAAAGTCGAATCTTACGAAAAAGTCGGCCAGAAATCGTCCTCTTGGTCGTATACTGCGAACACGAATCTCCCTCTAGGCTCGATTTCCTTTCTTTCCCAAATAGTCGGCAATGCAACGCAACGATCAAGATCTTTCAAAGAGCAAGAGCCAATAAATTTGAGCCATTCAACTGGTCGATCGAAACGATGCTGCTTGCGATACGTGTTATCAAGTTCGATTATTTCCTTCGATTGTCCTTCTTTTTTTTTGTTCCCTCCAACACCGAAGATCTGAGAATGACAAATCGAATATCTTTTTTCGAAAGTCAGTCGGCGGAGCACAGTCGAGAGTCGGTTCGACTTCCTGATGCAATTGCTTCCTTCGTATTGTTCTGGTTGATTATCTTTATAAACGCAATCGTTGACCGACTTAAACCGACTGAGACGAACTGCGCCTGTTGGAGATCTGTGTACGACCCTTGCGAACGGGCAGCAAATCGCGCGACACTGGCGACGTTAAAACTTTTGAACCGAAGTTTTGCTCGAGCGATGTCTTCTGTCCAAGAACGATCTGGGTATCTGATCCAATCGCGACTGCCGGTATTAAAAGGCTGACCAATAGTGTCTACGCTGGAGGGTCGACCCGGCCGTCAATTGGAACCACTCAGTGTTGATGAGCAAAATGTGACTCGGTTTACCTCGTAAAATCGTCCCGAATTTGATCGACGTACCGAATCTCGATCAATATCCTGATCCCTTTCTTCTTTTCTCTTTAGCTCGGACAGCTCTCTCTTCTCCACTTTTCCCCCAAAAAATCGAAACAATGATTCTAATCGCCGTTCGATCCACGACGATCCGACGTTTGTTCTCGCTCGCTGTCTTCGTCGCTATTTCGAGATCACGATGACGACGTTTACATCAATTTGACGAGCAGTTGCGTCGTAAAAGATGCTCGTTTGCCACGTGGATTAATTATTTCGCGAGCCGTTATCTCGAACTTTGCGCAGTGTGTTTTCGTTACTAATTCTCTTCGATGAGATGGACAAAAAAAAAAAAAAAAAGTGGAAAAAGAAGTTTTTCGAAGAGTGGATCGGCAGGCTGGACAAGAGACTAATGTGAAGAGGTGAGAGGATATCGATGCGCTTCCTGGTTACGTTATCAGAGCCACGTGCCAGAGACGGTGCAACGAAGGACGTGGAACAATTGTTAGCCGTTACTAAAAGTTTCTCGCAGTTTCACGCGAAAGTGTGTTTGAACAGAGATTCTCGAGGATTAGATGGAAGATTTGTCACGAGTTTTTCCGTCTCGTCGAATGAATGAACTTCCAAAAGCTCTGCTCTGTGATCCTTAAACTTTCAGCTTGTTGTTCGTAACTTCGTTAAACTTCGTCCCAGAAAATCGATGAGTTAAATTAATAACGTAGAAGCAGAACCTGAAACAACAAAATTAATATACGTCCACGGAACAGGTGTACCGGTGTATCGACGATTTTTAACTTTCCAAAAAATGTTAATTCTGTGTTCGAATACGTTAAACGAGGATCTCTTTTGTTATACATAAAAAAAAAAGAAAAAATATATCAGTGTAGGAAACGTTCGAGAATAAATATCTTGCAAGATTATTTTAATTAATTTATTACGACAAAATTTTTTTGCCCACACTTAGATAGATTTTCGTAAAAAAAAAAAAAAATATCCACACCGACAATGTTAGTGAGAGATGCCCGTCCATCGTGCTCGTCGAATGAATCGTCTGAATACTTCCTAATTCCATCATTTTCTCCTAAACGTTTTCCACCGTTCCCCGCATCTTTCCACGTATATCCGTTCAGCAAAGCTTGCCTGCTCAACGGGGTTAGACGTCTGAAGTTTCGCTGATTGAAGTTAATCCGCGAGGTCATTGTTATACGCGCTACTCGGTTCCACACAAATTAAACCGTGTGTGCCTGCCTTTTACTCGGGGAAGCTCGTCGTATCAACAATATACTCGCGTGTCAGGCTCGATCCACGCGACTGCAGGGAAAAAAAAAAAAAAACTCCGTGGAAAATCTTCGATCCAACGAGATCAACGACCACCGACAGCGAATTACTTCGCGACCTTGTTCCTTGCCACCGCGAAGAATACTTCGTTCCTTCAACGAAGAAGATTATTCGTTTGCCGGCCAACTATTCACTCTGTATTAAATTACAGTCTTATTACGTAGATGAAATTATTATTTTCAACCTTTTCTCGAACTCGAACCCGTACTTATGCAAGCTAGAAAATAAAATTCACACGTGGTGATTATTCGTAGTTGCGTTAATTTTTATTTAAATTTTAAACACGATGGAATTATCATCCTTCGAAGAAACAGTTTTCAGAAAATGATGTAAGACTTTGAAAGAATTGGCTTCATTAGTTAATTGTCTCCAAGCAATATTTTTACTTTTTTACAAAGATTAAATAATATCGATCGAATGATTCTTCGAGTGTCGAACGAATTGAGATGGTTTTTTTTTATTAGAGAATTTTGCTCGAACAGTGTTCGATATTTAATCGATTTATTATATATATTAAACGACGTTGTAGCAAAATTATGTACGAAAATAATGATTTTTATAATTGGACAATTAGAAAACGATTGTATAATAGGCGCAAGGAGGCGTTAACTCGTCGCGTAGATGAAGAAATAGTGGCAACACGAGTAAAGACCTCTATTCCTGCAAATTATACTAAGGCATCGAGGTCATATATATATCTTTATAATGGACGAATGCACGTCTGAACCACGTGTAAGATCTGCGCCGCCTGCTTTTGATTGAAATTATAAACCGGTTGTTACATTGATGCTACAGCATCGCGACTCGACTAACTTACTTCGAGACAATGCCAAGGGCAATTCTTTTCCGAATGTCATTGCCAAAGATTAGAAAAATTAATAATCACGCTTGTTGAATTGTATCCAAATATAGCGGTAGCATCCGTTTTCCATAATTTCCATAATCCTTGTAAAATATACAAAATATAAAGAGAAGCCAATTCTTTTTTTTTTTTTTGTCCTATGATCTATCTTATGATCTTTATATTGTTCCACGAATCGTTCGTTGATAGAAAATTATGATCAATTGTTGCGAGTGCATCATCATGCGAGTCAATTCATATTTCTATGCTCGATATCTTGCAACGCTCGTTGACATTCTTGCTCCAGAACACCGCTCCAAACTTGATACCGATGATTCAATCCTGGCACAGCGTGTAAAACCGTCTTGGTTCCTAACACGCCTGTAGCTTTATTGGAAATACCGTAAAATATCCTTAAAACTCTCGAGTGCAAGAGTGCCATAGCGCAGAGAGGACACGGTTCCATTAATAGAAACGCCCAATATCCTGTGCATAAATAAGGACCACATTTTTCCGTGTTCGTTGCTCCCGTCTGTTCGGATTTGTGCGTGGAACCGTTATTCCTTCGTCCTCGTCGAATCGCAGAAGATACCAGAGATTCCTCTTTCGGAAGATTAATTTTCGACAGCGATGTTGGATAATAAAGCGGGGCTTCCTCCACATACTTTCTTTTAATCTTTATCTCCCTTGTTGTTTCTATTTTTTCTGTAGGATCGGTCGCTTCTGAATTATCACTACTCTGTTCAAATTTTGATTCCAATTTCCAAGCGCCCCCACCTTGAAGTTTGGCAACGAGATCCACGACGAGCATAGCTGCGTGCCACATTGGATGTTGATCGATTTTCGAGGCAGCAATTGCGAGAATTCTTCCATCCTCCGGATCAACAATCACAGCGCTGCCATTGCAATTCTGATCACCGACAGCGGCTAATTCGGCTGCCTCTACTGCAACCTTCATATACCTCTCTATCAGGTTTAATTGATGTTCTGTAAAAATTGATCCATCGATCAGACATTCGATATTAGGATCTGGATGAAAGTTCAAAGGCCAAATGTTTGAGGCCCGAGTCGCTTGCGCTTTCGTTTTGACCCTTCTTGCTGGTACTTTCAATATCTGAAAATTATCTTCCAATAAAGATAAGTCAAACCCTTTTTCCCTTAACATTATTTTTAATTTGTTTTCGGTCAGGATACAAGGTATTTCGGATGAATTTTCCGCTGGTATTTTCGTACAGTTTAACGGTGCCAAAAGTAGCTTGTTGGAGGAGCAGCGTTTGAGATGCTGGAAACCTGGCAGAATGGAAGAAATACTCTGAATCGCGGTCGAGATATCCTTTTTCTGCTTAAGTACACCCACGTAGACATCTTCGAGGGATGGATCGTCCGTGAAGTCAGGGTTTAAGATCGGTCTCGCTATCCAACTTCTTACAGTGGTTCCCATTTTGCTCTCCTTTGGGCATTTGGGCGAGGTGATCGCCATTTTTCCTGAAAAGACGGTGGTGCCTTCACTTTTCGTCGTTTCATCTTCATCGATGCTTTCAAAGTTTTATCTTCGATGTCTTTAATATATCAAACCTTCTATTTATTTTCTTACATTATAAATTTAAATGTAGATATATGTATATATTCGCATGAAGCGAACGAAGCGGAAGAAAAATGGACACGTATCGTGAAAGAATGTTGTAGTTAGTGACGGTGCACTTGGTACGGCTCACAGGAGGAGAAGCGATTTTAAATTGCTGTCAAGTTGGGCCACGGTCGGATCGATTGTCGGAGTTAGACGCAATTGTACGACGTTGATCCACGAACAGAAGAAATAAGGTCTTTGTTGCCACGCCGTCCCGATCCTGCGACGATCGCTTTCCAGTTTAAACGTGAAACCTGTGGATGGAACGGTAACGACAGACCGTCGTGAAATCTTACGATATTTGCCTGATTTCATGGATCAACTTTGGCGCGGAGTTTGGGCTCTCGAATGACCCACAAAATGTTCCGAATGCGAGCTCGAAATCCCATAAATTTATCTTGGGACGATAAGAAACAAGATATAGAATTATTGAGAGGGGAATTTGACGAGGCGAGATTGAGAAAATATTTATTAACGTTATACCTATTATTGTATCGTTTTTATCAGACGAAGAAGATAAAATAGGTCTCGAGACGAGATAATTGCAGCTCGGAATTGGATGCAATCTTTTTCACCATGAAAAAAAGAATCGTATTACTAAGAACTCTGAATTGATATGGTGAGCTTTTAATAAATCGGTGAACGAGTTACGTCAATATTGAAAACGTGATTCGATGATGATGCTCGAGAAGTCACATCTTAAAGCGTATTAACCGCTCAGCAGGAGGAAAATATGCCATGGTCGGATGTTCTGTGAATGGATAAATGAGTGGACAGGACAGATTAAATTATAAAACGTTCATAGCGTAATAGCGTGCCGCGAATACGAGGTTATTGTTAAAGATAGTCATTAGACGAATGATAATTTTATTATGAAAGAATAACGCAACGATTGAGTTTTATTCAAACGTATTTGGAAAAAAATATAATCATGCAAATATATATATTATTCCTTGCACAAAAATTTGATTTGTTTCGTTTTTTTAATAATTTTGATGAAGAATATTTTAATTGAAAATGAGTAGAAAGCATAAAAAAAATCGTCTGTTAAAGAATTAGAAATGTTTATCTATAATTTAAAGATGATATTTTAATAAGCGTTGTATTCGCTATCGATAGAAGGAAGTTAAATTTCGCGCTTCGTTACGTCAACAAAGATGGTGGTAGCACATTCGTGCAAAGCGTGTTCCTTATATAACATAAAAGGAACAACAAGCAGACTCGAGTGACGCAGCACACAAACGTAAACTCATTAAGTAAATGTATTCAACGAACGAAACAGAATAATTAATACGAACTTATAAATAAATTCTAATCGCAATTTAAACATCGCAATTTTCTCAATCACAATGGTTCATTTTTTAACGGGTTCGATTCACGTGCCAATATGTCTTCCCTGGCCTTGAATCGAGATATGACACGCGTGTTCCGCATCTTTCGCGCTTGTCAAACAAAACAAATCAATTCGATCGAAACAGACAAAAGATATTTCCAAAAAAATGACTCGATTATGACGAACAACCTCGCATATATATTCTTTACGCAAGTAGCAAAAGAAAGATAAAAATTCTTACCTGCTGCTGTGAGAAAGCACGTTTCAACGTCTCTTTTCGGTTTGATTCTTTTCCACAACTATAAACGAGTAGATCCTTGTCAATCACACCTTTCGATGCTTTACACTCAAACTACGATTCACAAATAGCACAAAAACGCACGTGAAAATATCCGTAGAGACGGACGTTTACACGAGAACGACTTATACCTTTCGCGATTACGAGTTATCGACGCTACTGATGCACACTCTGTCGGTCATTAGTGTAAACTCTCGACTGGAGGAAGGGAAGCATGACCACACCACGGTCCTTCGTTTTTCCTTTTTTTCCCTTAAACATCTTTTATTTCTGTTAATAACACATCGTACTACGTACCTAATATTATCGTCGAGACGAAGAATTAATGGTTTTCGCTGATATTGCAATAAATTCGATATATTCTGCATAAAATGTAAGTTGTTTCTAACGGTTTTTTGTTTATACATATTATGCGTATTACAAAGATTCGATGTTTTGGTTGTGAAATAAACTGTTTTCGTTGAAATAAAGTGTTCTAAATGTAATTTTTGAAATTGAAAAGAAGCTAAAAACATCTTGTTTTATTGTTTAGTTCGAATATTATGTTTGATGGTGTTTTAATATCGACGAAAGAGAACGATTCGAGCAGCTAAAATTTGGCGCGAAAACGTGCATGATGGCGTCATCAATTTATTTTGCAGATTAGTTTTACTTCGTGATAGATATAATTTTTACTCTTCAAATTTGTAAGTACATTTTAAATAATTATCTATTATTTTTCTTTTCGTAAATGATCGTGTGTTTGTTGAAATAAATATTTTAATTTTTAACTACTAAATTTTTATATTAATTTCTACAAACAATTATTTAACGTAAACGCTTTTTTATATAAAGAATATAATGATACTATAATGAGATCATATATATTTATATATTGCGATATATTACGATAATATTCGATCATTTTCTTCTCGAACACAAAAAAATAAGAAAAAATATGAAAATTGAAAAGAGAGAATATTAATAATTACGTAATGATATAATTTATATCTCGAACGATAGAAAGCAATCGTGATTATTGAAATTATTCGAATCAAGTTTATATAACAAGTCAGTTAATCAAGTAATAATTAATGAGACTATTTACGTGCAATTTGCATAAGTTTCGAAATATTTTAAATACGTTATGATTGCATCATATAGATATTCCATGTGTTCCTGAAACAGATATATTTCTTATATTTCATTTCGAATTTTCGAAAGTTTTAAAAAAAAACTAATTAATTTGAATTAAATTTACCAGAGATGTGATAAAATCAGGCCTTGATTTTCTTATCGCGCGAACTGCAAAGCAAATATCGCATTCTTTTTCTATAATCATTCTCTCCAAAAGAAAATTTAAGGCTAAATAAAGTCCACAGCCAGTTATACCATCGCTAATTAAAAAGAGATATTTTCGTAATAAATAGACATTTATTTCATGATAAATATTCAATTTATGTAAAAATATTTTTAGATATTTTTGGATATAATCTTACTGGCAGACAACGACGATAGGACTATCTTCTTTCAGAATTTTCTGTGCCGATTGCCATAATGTCACTAATGACATGGTCGCAGGTAAATCTTGATTTCTACCAGCTTTCCATTCCGTGGAACATAAAATTGTTACGTATTGTTCTGTAGCAGGTTTCTGAAATTATGCATATATAAAAATTGATTGCATTTCATTTCCAGATAAAATCTGCGAATCTAACCTCTGAATTATCGACGATTATCAATTTCTCTAACGTGTAATACTCAAATGTTGTGAATTCTTTCGTTCGAACATTTATATATGGTACTGGTTTAAATTCTCTCTTTGGAACAATAGGACAACACGTCTGTACAAAGGTTGATATAATTCATTCAGTAGAATTTTTCTATTAATGTTAAATTAAATTAAATTACAAAAATTTTATCATAATTGATAAGATACCGCATCTTTTAAATCTGGTAGTTGTAACATAATGATAAGTTCCACTTTATACTCAGCAATCATTCTCCAGAAATCGCTAAATGTTTCAGGTAATGGTAATTGTGTTGCTATATACTGATTCTGTAATTTTACACCATCCACGTAAACGGCGGATATGTAATCGCTGTCCTCGTCTGTCGACGGATATCTTTTTAAATATACTCTGCCTGCATTCGCTGCAATGGAATCATTGTTATTTCACTCTGATGGTAGAGAAATATGAAGAGATATAAGGAGCAATCAAATTATTCCAAACCTAATATTAATTCTGGAAATCTGTTTTTAGCAATATTGCGTTTTGATAGGGATGTTTGATTGATCGATAATCGAAGAACTTCATCGTGCCAGGTCATTTTTTCTAGTACTTTTTTTAGAAAAACTTTTAACATATTTTGCACATCTTGCATATAATATATATATATATAT